GGCCCCCCCAGGCCCCTGCTGGCCACTCCTGCTGCCCAGTCCTCACCCCTGAGCTGTGGGCTCCTGACCTCGTGGGAGGGAACCTGTTAGTTCCGTCCTGGGCGACCTGACCTCCATGGAAGGGTCTGAGCTGGGGACTGAGGCCCACATGGCCCTTTGTGGGGAACAGCAGGTCCCCCCGTCCATGGACATTCCTGATTGTCAGCCTGCCCTCCAGATCCCTGCGCACAGCACAGCGTCCTGCCTCGGGAGGTTCATGGAAATGACCTTCCACTGAGAATGGTTCTGTCAGCAGCATTTATTCATTTGTTACTAGAGGCCCACTGCAGGCAAATCGTGCACTCAGGGGATTCCTCAGCCCGGCCTGTACCCTCTCATGGTCCTAGAGTCCTTGGGGTATGTTTCCCTGTGGGGAGCCAGCTATGAGCCCTGTTTCTGGCTGAGAGCCCTCCCCCTATGGACCACCTGCATTAAGTATCTACCCCCTGGTGGTCAGTATGCGTCACAGTTACTGGTCCATTTGCCTTTTGGTCTATTTGCATATTGACCTTTTATTGTATGGGATTATTTTTTAAAAATTATTTCATAGTGGAAGGCAGAGTGAAAGAGTGATACAACAATCAATGATGAGAGACAGTCATTGATCAGCTGCCTCCTCCACACCCCTTACTGGGTATACAGCCCACAACCAAGGCATGATGTGCCCTTATCCCAATCAAACTAGGACCCCTCATCTGTAGGCCCAGGCTCTAGCCACTGAGCCACACCAGCAAAGGCTAGCAACATTTTTTTTTAATTTTCAAAGGGCCCATTTTCGTCATGACACTGACGGGTGATAAATGTCTGGGAGCCCAGGTTCCTGTGAACTGTGCTTCTATTGAACATGGAGGGGTCATGTGGAGCTGACGTGGCTGCTGTTACAGACGTTCCCGCTCACGGTGTCCAGGCCCCTCCCGGGGGCCGTCCCGATGCACCCACACTCGTCATGGGCCTCCTGCTCCCGGACAGGACCCATGGCTGACAGGGCTCCATGTGGGATCGTCCACAGGTGCCCGAAGCTGCCCCTGCTCTCGCTCCACACAGACGGGCAGCCGTGCTCAGGGCTTGGTCTGCAGCCCTCGAGGCTGGAGGAGAGGGTGACACAGGGAGGTTTCTGTCCCACTTCCCCATCCGCCTGTGTCACTGTGAGCATCAGCACTGCTGTCCCACACCTGACAGTAATAGTCGGCCTCGTCCTGGGCCTGGACCCCGCTGATGGTCAGGGTGGCCGTGTTCCCTGAGTTGGTGCCTGAGTATCGGTCTGGGATCCCTGAGGGCCGGTTGTTATTTCTATAGATGACCAGCACGGGGGCCTGGCCGGGCTTCTGCTGATACCAGTGAGTATATTTACTTCCAATGTTGTTTCCCCCACACGTGAGCTTGGCCATCTGTCCTGGGCTCACCGACACGGAGGGCGGCTGCGTCAGCTCATAGGAGGCCACAGAGGCTGCAGGAGGAAGAGGAGGCAGGAGGGTGAGAGCCCCTTCCCAGGCACCCCCTGCTGCCCTGCCTGCCTGAGCTCCAGGGGTTCCCAGGCCCCAGGCGCCCTCTCACCCCTCTCAGCCCAGGTGGCCTGGG